AATCAGATATCCAAACCCTAGTTCATGCCTTTATTACATCGAAACTAGATAATTGCAACTCTTTGCTATACGGACTACATAAATTTCTTATAGATCGATTACAGAATGTGCAAAACTGTGCTGCTCGTCTGGTGACAGGAAGCAGAAAATACGACCATGTTACTCATTAATGAAACAATTACATTGGCTCCCCATCAGTCAACGCATCATCTATAAAATTGTTCTTATCACGTATAAATCTCTGAATGGCCCAGCTCCACATTACATTAATAATATGCTAAAACCTTACACACCATCAGCAAATTTACGCTCCTCATCCAAAGGATTGCTTACCATACCTTCAGTAAAACTAGTGAACTATGGTGAACGATCGTTCTCATATGCTGCACCGAAACTGTGGAACGAACTGCCAGAGTATATTAGAAAGCGTGAGACCTTGCCTATTTTTAAAACCAGATTAAAGACACATCTTTTTAAACAGTATTATGACTAAGTTATTATTTTAACAAGATTATTAGCAATTTTATAGTATTCTATATAGTTGTTGTTTTAATATTATCAACATATATAACATAAAGTAATTTTATATTCTTAACGAGAAGAGCATATAATTATTTTTTAGTAATTTTATAGTATAGTAATTTTAGTAGTTAATGCATGCACTATGTTCTAACACTTAGTATATATTTTTAACACTTGATGTTAAGCGCTATTGAGCTATGGGAAATGGCGCTATATAAATGAATTATAATAATAATAATAATAAGAGGTTTTTTGGAGGCGTGGCGTATAATCGGAAATCTTAGTTAATTATATGTCAACCTATGAGAACATGGTAACTTAACCTGAAGTTCAGGCCCTAATTTTAAATAGGGCCTGACACAAAACCTGTCTAGACCGTGGGACGCACACATGTTATTTTTAGACACACATGCAATAAACACCACGGAAAAACGTCTGCGCATGCGTCAACCTTACCTGTAATAGTATTGCGAACTTGATGAGAAGCTGTTCCGAACGTTTCCGAAGGCTCAAAATGGCGGTTAAAAGGAGTGAGTTCATTGTGCGTCTTTACAGCCAGATTTCGAGCGCAAAAATAAACATGTCATTCTAAAACTAGGAATAAATACAGCCAGAAGGTTCAAGGAATTGTATTGTACAAGAACATGAACTAAAGGTGATTGTTGACAAATTTATCGTCTGAAACATTTTGTTTATCAACTAAGCAACGACAATTTCCGAATTTTCGTTTGAGATACATTTCTTTAAAAAAACTGTGTCGCCAAATATAAAAAATTTTCGTGTTCACAATAATTAAACTTTAGGATTTATTCTACAACTTGAGTGGGTTAAGAAGCTTAACTTTTCGAGAGTTTTCTTAACTTTTTAGTTTGAATTTTTGTTTTGAATAATTTTGCAAAAATTTTCGAAGTCGTGTCCGTTAAAATCAACATTTTTTTACATGAATTATATTTCATTCCATACTTTAAATGCCAGGACGCTTTCAATTAATGTCTAGTCTACCCATTTGCTATATTTTCTCGTTTGTTTTACTAATTTTGACCAATTAATAAGCATGTTTTTGTTTTAGAAATTGATATTCAAATTCCCCGCCATATTTTCATAATTTGGTGCATGCGCAGACGTTTTTCCGCGGTGTTCATGCAATATGATTGACAAGTGTTGTAGATTTCGTTACACAAAAAATTTATATTCTCGTGAACATGTCCGCAGAGTGTGCATTTTGCTTTTTAATTAAACTTAAAAGTTCAAGGTACTTTAATATAATTAAGAGTCAGTTTCTCTATTTAACCGAACAGCAAACAAAGATTCAATTAGTCAGTTCTGTGTACGGCTAGACTGCCAAGCTTTCTCAAGGTCTCAACTTGCTGGACGCGGATATACCAGGGATATACTCTAACGGGCTAACGACAGCAACAATAAAATTCTCAATCGTACCACGAGGAAGGCGATGTAGCTCAGAAAACAACGCCGGTAGGACCTGATATTAAAAATAAGACTTTTGCCGGCGAACATCATTGGCTGTCAACAACAAGCTTTCGAATATATGACTAGTTTGGCTGTTCTTTCAGCGTCGTGTGTCCAAAATTCGTCAAAGATTTTGATAAAGACCATTCAAAATACTATTTGTTTGATTTATTTTCTGCCATAAAGCATAAAAGAAAAGAAATTCGAAGAAATCAATAATGGATTTGTTACGTGCGTTTGACCTTTATATTATTATTGTCCCCTTGAGCCATTGACCGAGCTATTTTTAAAACTGTTGTTTATTAAATATGTGAACTTGCAACCAATCAAAATCTTAGGGTCTGAACTTCAGGTTAAATCTACAGGCATGATGATTTATATTTGAAGTATCGAAGCGCCAACAGCGGTATATATTTATTATATAGTTTTCTTTGTTTTTCTTCATTTTAAATACTACTATACTGTATTTCGTGACCGCTCGGCCCCTCCAGGTAATGAAAATTTATACTAATACGTGCAAAAAATTACCAGAACCCGCCCGCCTCACAAAATGAACCAATTTCATTGCTCGACATTTACAAGTGATCTATGGTCACAACCGCTAACAATACAGACGTCCGGTATTTCTATAATTATATTGGAACGAAACATTATTTCTTTTTTTAAAGAAATATTTTCTTGTTGTACATTCATCTGAAAATTTTTATACTTTACTACCTGCCAACCTCCTACCTATCTACAAGTTTTAAATATGATGAACTATTGAATCAAAAGTATTTTCAAAGATGAATCATCGACAGTTTTAAAGTGAGCATTCAGTCTATGTTTGGCAGTGTCATGTTTACATTGTAATTTACATTGTAATTTGTGGCAAAAAGTTAGTTTTCAAAATTTTATCAATCTTCAATAAACAAGACGCGTACTATTAATAAATCGGCACAGAGTATATCAACTTTGCAAACAACAAATCTAATGGCATATTATAGAAACAGATAGAAGAGAAAATATAAAAAACATTGACGGCGACTGATCGGTTTGATATCAAAATATGTTTGAGAGAGAACACCCAACTTCAAACTTTACGATTTATTTGTTTCTTGACTTAACTGTTGATAAAATGCTACAGTGTTTTCGTAATTTAAAAGCAAACAGAAGTATAAAACTGAATTTAGCGGGCGCTTCGAACTATGTATCGTAAAATCCCACTCCTGGTATTAGAAATTTAACGTTTTCTATGGAAGCATGTAATTTGACACTTTGCAACTCCCCTTTGGGCAATTAATTTTTGTAGAGTCACGTAACCAGACAACACCAGGGTCTCCCAAAAAGACCCTGGGTACGAGGATGCATAATTAGCAGTTTACCTGGGGTGGTGCATGGTCATTTTCTTGTAAAATATCACACTTAGACAAATTTTTCCTTCCGATAACCACCCCTACAAAGTGCTTGTATGGTCGCTTTTGCTTTTCGAAAGTTAGAGCTGTGTCGGCACTGCATTCCGTTTCAGGACGGGCTCATTTTCAGGAGGGAGTCCGGGAGGGTGGGTGCGAGGGAGGGAGGGTTCCGTGAGGGAGGGAGGGTTCCGTGAGGGAGGGAGGGTGGGTGCGAGGGAGAGAGGGAGGGTTCCGTCATAAGGTAAATTATCTTTTATTTCTTGTCTTGCCTAGTACGTGAATTATAATTTTTAAACAGACCTAAATGTTTACAATGATAAAAACGTCTCGGTGTTTACGATGCCTACCGTGCTTTCCCTTGTGTTTATCACGATGTCCGTCGCTGGTTTAAACTCTTCGTTTTCGTCTACGTTTTCCTCAACCTCGCCTGAAATATTTTTATTTTTCCAAGCTTGAAGCCCCTCTTGTAATTTTACAATATTCCCTCGATTTCTTTTTTGTATTTTCTCAAATTTTCCCGAGTCAAAGAACGATTTTTAAAACGCGCTGCCATGTTTGTTTTTAAATTTTTATCTATCGGCATTTAAAAATCCCGTGCCGTTTCCGCTCGCGCGACATTTTCTCGCAACACGCGATTCTGTCCGCAACGCGCGAATTGTTTTTTCGTTACCAGTCCCATGCTTTAAGAACTGTAGGGAGTGAACATTTCCTTGCGTGTATACGTGAGAAACGCTTAACTGGAAATAGCGAGTTAATTTTAAAAACTTTTACATCAGCAAAAAAACACCAGAGTTCAACAACACAAACACCAACAAAACAAACGTTTACGTATTTCAAAAATTATAACGTATAAAGGCTTCCATTGTTGTGATATATTGTTATATGTTTCACAGATTGGCAGCAGTTTGTTTGTAAAAATTATTCAGGAACTCGTCCACCATTCTTTTGCAATTTGAGTGACTGCATGTCCATGCACTATCGTATATAACCAAATCGTATTACAAAAAATGTAAGATAGAACAATTGATTCAGGGTTCCCAATAAAAATTGGGGTAGGAGTCTTTCTGAAAGAAGTAGGCGACTATGTGGTACCGGTGTCACAGGAATTTTGCCTCCCCCCTTTCAAAAGGGGGGCGAATACCCTAGGAATGTTATCCCCCCCATATAAATTTGGAATTTTTTATCTAAAAACAAAACGATTGCAAGTTGGAAAGAGCGTTGAAAATGTGATTTATTTATTTATTTATTTATTTATTACAATAAGGAGACAAAATGAAATAGACATGTTAGGCTTCTTAGCAGCTAGTGGTGTGCACAGTCGGCAGAATCACGCATTTTGAAAATACTTAATATATTGAATAATGCTCAATTTATACCAGAAAATGTTTCTGGGCCTTGAATGGGTATGACACGTTGTACATACTAACACCGTCTATTTAGTTTATATTTTGAAATGTGATCAATTACGTAATGTTAAAATCAGACACTTGCCGACATATAACCCGTGATTGTTTAATTTTTCAACTACTCCAATCTTACATCAGTCACATTTCAAATGAATACATTTTATGAAGCAAACATAATTATATTGTTTATTCAGAGATATTTCGAAATCACCAGGCGACATGTTACTGGTGATTGGTTTGTGTCCCACATCAATTGAATTCCGATCTTAACGTCAATCATATTTCTATAGTGTGAAAACACTTGATAAGGATATTTGTCAGCGTGAGATTGAAGTCTCGTGAGATATCTCTCGGCTTGCTTTGCTTGGATATCGCCCATAATGCTAGCAAAGGTACTCTGAAGCGTTTGAACACAGGTTATAGCTGATGTAATGTTGTTTTTTGTTGTGCTAAACATGATCCTGGCCATACCACCACTTTTCTTATAGAATGTCGCTCTCAGCATGTTTCGATTGTTACGTAATGCTTTATACACGGCGTTCTTCCCGCTACTAGGCAAGACACTTCTTAGAACATAATCCAATGTTTCTTGTTCTTTCCAGTCTGTAGATATGAAACAATTTTTGAATGATTCAGTGCGTACTATACAGGGCATTTTTTAACTATATAACTGGGGGGGGCAAAGCCCCCCCAGCCCCC